CCAGCTCCACAACTGACTCCGCAAAATGCCTTTACTTAAAAATACCTTTGCTCACGGAAATCTTCAGCAATTTTACATATGAGCTGAGCCTCGACCTCCAACTGAGTGGAGTTTTTCACACCAAGAGAACAACCGCAAAACACCCTAAATGAATACGCTTCACAGCGATATAAACTAACATCCTCTGCCTGCATATCATCAGCCTGTCAGTGTGCACCTCTACTCCCCTGTGCTCTGACAGTAAACTATGCCATTTTAGAAGACGGCCAGAAGTTGTACTGTCTTCTGGGTTTTGCTTAGAAAAAAACCCCTAACCAGTTCTTAATGACCTCTTTTATTATCACTCCACCACTACTCCTCACACCTGCACTCAAAAATAATATTTACCCTGTCTGTCATCATAACACGGTGGATGTGTGTCTTCCTGCCTTTGTGTCAGGGTCTAATGATGACTACCATTCTCCGCTTCTCTCAGGCGTCTTATTAGAGAGGGGAGTAGACACGCTCTGTCTGTGTGAAATAGGTCTTTCTCAGGAAAAGTGGGAGCAGAGGGCTGAATACCGGCAAAAAACCCAAAGCTCCCTGGTCACTCATAATATATCAATTAGGCACAACTTGAATGCAAAAGCATGCCCTTTCTGTGTGTGTGTGTTTATGTGTGTTTGTGAGGACTAAAAGTTGGATTGCTACTGTACTTGTGGGGACCAACAGTCCCTATGGGGACAAAATGCCCATCCCCACGAGTTTGAAGGCATTTTTGAGCCTCAAAATGTGGTTTTAGTATCAGGGTTACAATTAGGTTATGGTTAGGTTCAGGGCAAGGGTTAGGGTTAGTGGCTACAGAAAGCATTATGTCAAATATATGTCCTCCCTAAGATATAAAAACAAGTGTGTGTGTGCGTGTGTGTGTGTGTGTGAATGTGTGAGTTGAGATCAGTTAATAACTGAGTCGGTGTTGTGGGTGGGGACGTGTGATGAATTTGGGTGGCATGCTGCACTGATCTTGTTGTGAGCCACAGTGCGATCACTTGCATTTGGAAAAACAGGAGTTAAGTCACTCACACACACACACACGCCCCTTGAGAGTTTAAACAGAAAGAGGGAAAAAAGAAGCAAAGGGAGCAGTGAGAGAACGGAGGGAGACGCCAGTGTTTTCGGTCTCTGTTTTCAAACTTTGAGAAGGCTTGGGAGTCATCTGTAATGAGAAAGACAACAACTGGCTCATGATTCTTCTCAGCTTTCACCCATGAAAAGATCAGCACAGTGGGATTTTTGGATGTAGATGCATCTCCATGCATTTCATTTGCTACACCCAGTTTTTTTTTTTGTGTGAAATTTGATGCGCCTGTGTGCCGTAGCAATGTTTTATAAGCTTTCGAGATTTTGATGGGAAAATGCAAACTCGGATAAATGCTGGTGCACCGTGGGAGCTTGTCTGCTAAACTGGTTTGCCAGGCTCATTCACTGTGTGTTATTCCAGCCCCCTTTTTCAGTGTTGTATGTCAGTTGCTGGCATTTTAACAGAGGCACCTAACTCAAATGGTATCATTTGTGACGGGAAGAGGTCTGGCAATAGTCAGACCTCTGTCCATCACAAAGGATCCATCACATTTAAAATGCACAAAGTAAGCCTATTTTGGGGGCATGGTTAAGCTTAGTGAGAATGGGGCAGATTTTCACTAAAACTGCAACCATTTCTTAATCATAATGAAATATTATCCTAAAATTAATCAGCAAGTGAAAACAAAATGAAACAAAGGCAAACAACAGACAACTCCTCTGGCTTTTAAAAGGTGGCTGTTACCTTTTGGCATCAAGTATTGCAGTGGGCAGCGAGTAAAGAGCACAAGCAGGTTCTGGCAGAGTGGCATCATTTTATGTGAGATCATATAATGTGATGATATGATGCTGATGTCTGAATTTTGATTAAACATGTTGACCACTCGTGCTTTTCTGTTCACGATGAACCTCGAGCTAGCAGTTTGCTTACCGTAGAGATTATGGAATTTCCCAGCACTTGGTTTTCTCATACAGCTCTGAGCAATAAAACAAACAATATGAATTATTATTTCATACAGAACCCATTCTCAATGCAGCATTTTGTCCGTGTGTTGTTTCTTTTTGAATGTTACAGTCATGTGAAAAAGAAAGTTTTCACATGACTGTATCCAATCCTGTGAACATCCAAGTTGCTCACTTACTGCTCCCATATGATGTAAGTGGGTAAGTAGCAGCCAGGTGTTGATAATTAAATGACTGATCATCAGCAAGTGTGAGCACCTCTATAAAACTGGAAGTTTTAGCAGCTTGCTGGTGTGAAGCATTCAGGTGTGTGTTAACACAATGCCACAATCTTCCCAGGAGTCGTTGTCTCAGCACATTCACCCCGAGGTCAGAACATGTGATGCTCAGAGAATTGCAACAAAACAACGAGCCAGAGCTCAGATTCTACAAGCTTCAGTTGGTCTGTTAAATGTTAAAGTTAATGATTATAATTAGAAAAAAAAAAACTGAACAAAGTACTGCTTCTGTGGAAGAGTTGCCAGGAGAAAGTCTCTCCTCTACAAGATCATGGCTGCAAAGCTCAGGTTTACAAAGTTGCATTTGAACGCAAGTTCTGGAACAACAAGACCTAAATAAAAACGTTTGGCCATAATATACAGCACCACATTTAGCAAAAACCAAACACAGTATATCAGCACAAGCATCTCATACCAGCTGTCAAGCATGGTGGTGGAGGGGGGATGATTTTAGCTTGTTTTGCAGCCACTAGACCTGGGTACCTCGCCTAATTGACCATCAACTTCTCTGTGTGCCAACGTATAGTACAGTCGAATGTAAGACCATCTGTCCTAACGCTAAAGCTTGACTGAAATCGAATCATGCAACATCCGAAGCACAGAAGGAATCTATAACCGAATGGCTGAAAAAGAAACATATCAAAGTGTTGCAATGGCCCAGTCAAAGTCCAGACTTCAACCTCATTGAAATGCTCACACACACCTCAATGAACTGAAGCGATTTAAAGAAAAGTGGCCCAAAATTCATCCACATCAATGTGAAACACCGATAAAGTCATAAAGAAAATGATTGCTTTGAGTCATTGCTCCTAAAGGTGGTTCTATAAGCTACTGAATCATGCAGTCTATTTCGTTTTGGACAGGATTATAAAGAGTCATACGAAAACTTTCTTTTTCATATGATTGTGGATATTAGAGAAAAAAAGAGTTGTCCTCTTTCTCACAGCTCATCACACAACCCACAGACTTACCAGCAAAATACCAACATAACTGTACACTTATATGCACTATATCCATTTATGTCAAACATAACAGGAACAATACATAAGGTTCTTTTTCATTAAACTAAGTTTCACTCTCTTACAGCCTAAAGCTCTGAACTCTGCATTTGAGCTTCTTTTGAATCACTTTTTGTATTTCTCAGATTAATTGCATCTAAAATGAGTTCCTACTTGATGTTGCAACAGTCAACGGCTTGAAGGAAATGACTCATGGGAATTACAAGAAAATGCTATTTCTCATTTGCAGAACTTTGCTGACACTGACTTTTTAAAGATATTTGTGGGAGAGGTGCCACTGAAGTTAACACTTCACAAAGGCATAATAAAGCAGAGGGCTGCTGCCTCCACAATGCCTGCTCATGGCCCCTGAAAAAAGGAAGATTCGGTGCACTCTTTTTAGATATGGCTACACAAAGCACACACCTTATATTATATCTTCATAATAATCTGGCTTATTTCATGAATGTACAGTATTAGCATCAAATGAAATGCAGAAAGAGGAAAACCGCGTAATATTTTGCAATCCTTTTCTGACTTAAGAAGCCAGTTGAACCCTTTTTTCTCTTGTATTGAATAACTTTATATTCTAGAAGAAAAAAGCTGACATTGACGTTGTTTTGACACAAAAGACAAGTGTAAAATGTATTATACATAAACACTCAAATGTAGGCTTTCTGCATGTTGCCTTTTAATTATTCTTGTTAATAGTGTTTTTTGGTGGGGTTTTTCAGCATGACGTAGTTTAGAGTTAATCCTTTGAGTAAAGTATGAAAAATGTAATACCAATTAATTTTGATTTAGCGAGTGATAGATTTGCAAATGGAAATGGGGAAAAACAAATCCAGCACAAAAGCCACCACTGAGATGTTTTCCCTAATTTATTGTTCGTGGGGGTGTGTTGAGATCCCCTGCAAAGTGTAATGGATCTCAATTCACTAATAAATGCATTTCCTCTCAGCGTACTCAGTACTGTCTTTATTATCACAGAGGACAGCAAATATAATGCCCCGTTGATGGAGACCTTAGAGGCCACCAAACCTGCACACTGGCATCTCTTGATGTGTCTTTGCTGCCATCTAGTGGCCACAGAGGCTAACGCCGGTGTAATAAAGTTTCTGTACTATAGGGGTCACTGTGAGGTCATTTTTCACAGTTTTGCTAGTTTTTAGAGGCCACTTTGGATTAGTGTGGGAGCGAACGTGCTCTTTGTACTTAATGACCACTAGATGTCAGTAAGTGACTGTTTGCTTGGTGATCAGGTGCATTATTTGGAAGTGCTCGCTCATCCCTTCTGTTAGCAAAGAAGATGCAGACACCCATTTTTGTGAACAAGCTTGAAAGTCACCAGTGCCTCCTCACTCACTGAATCACATCCATTTACATTTTTTTTCTGAGGTTATTTTAGTACAGTGCAAGAAAACAAAACAAAAGGCAAGATGTGAATAAAGGAGGAAGTTGATGAAATGCTTGTGATTACACTCCAGTTTCATTAACTGCTCAGATCCCCCCAAATTTGAAAAGTTTGGTAAATCCTGCCCAATGGGTTTTAGAAACTACACGTGTGTATGTGTGTGTTTTTACACTGTTGAGCCTGAGACAGAGAATTTTTCTTCTGCTTCCAGGGGCCAGCACTGGGGGCTGGACAACACCTCTCTTACTCTCTTTGCCCTACTCCCTCCCCACCCTCTTCAACTTGCCATCCATCCTGTGGGCTGTGCACACAGCACCCCCGACCTCCCCTCCTCCTCCTTCTTCTCTGACAGCTTTGCTCCACCAGCTCTGCACTGTGCCGGCCTTGAGAGGAGTAAGGGAGCAGAAAGAGGCACTAGAAGAGAGGATTTGCTGAACCGAGGAGAGACGGACAGGGGAGAGGGACCATGGCTGCTCTCTCTGCCTTGCTGAAGACCTGGGTTATTCTGCAGACCTTGTGCCTGGTTTTGGCTCAAGTGGTGAGTGGCACAGAGGAGCTCAAAACCTGATCGGGGCTCAAGGGTTCAGGGGGTAAGGGCCCTCGGTAAGGGTCCAGTCGACTATGGATATCTTGAGGTGATCTTGTAGGTTTCGTGCCATCTTGGGCTGGATGAAGGGATTAAATAACCACAGCATGGAAGCAAGGATATAAGTGTGATGAGTACCCAGCTTTATAGAATGAATGTAGAAGAAAATGATTTTCAGGGGTGGAAGCTATCTTGTGGATCTTTCATGGATCACCCTTATCGTACATGGACTCTTAGGTCTTTCTAACCACGGCGTCCGCTCTTTTTTAAGGCACGGATTCATCATTACCTAGGCTACCTTTACAGGAGCCAAGAGGAGCACTATTTAACCAAGAATGATGGGATTTATTTTTTCAGTTTTTTGGGGGGTCAAATCTTTGCAGCCATGCCAGATTTAAGAAAAAAAAAAGTCAGTGTGCACTGACACCGACACACAAACTTTGTCCACTGAGCGTGAAAGCTGTTATTCAAACAGACACCTACACGTTATCTTCTGGACTTACAGGAGTTTTCGCTTTCAAGGATCATTCTGTGTTTTGTTTTGTGGGGTTTTAACACCTGAAGAATTCAAAGCTGGATTTATTCTTTTATCACTTGATGGACTGACCCTTGCAATAAAATGTTGTTCAAGACAGGCAGTAGGATGGAGAAGGAGGGGGGTGGGTTGGGTGGGGGTAAACAGTGCCAGTCTTTTAGCCCTTCCTCCCACATTCCTCCTCGATCCTTTGTGTTTACCTCCTCAAAGATGCCAGTTTTGTCACGTTATTTTTGTTGCAATGCTCCATGTTAAACTCACTCGGTCGGCTTTCAGAGTTGCCCACCTTAACCTGCAGTAACCACTCCGGTATTTGGTTCTATGATGGAGGGTTAGGTTATATTTGGGAAAATAAAACATACATCAAATGTGTTTTCATTTTTATAAAAATCCATGAAAATTAATATCCACCATGATATTACAATATATATTTAACATCTGTTAGTTATATATTCCACAATGATACTGCATCCTGATTGTTGCTACTGGCTACTGCACAGAGTGAATTAATAAATGTTGCTGTTTGACCTTTTTTCCTCTCTGTCTGTGTTTCAGAGGGGTCCACCTGGACCTCCGGGCCCGCCAGGCCCACCCGGCCCCTCTGGCACTCCTGGGTCAGATGGCATTGATGTGAGTATCCACACAGGTTTGCCAAATAGGTTTTCCCACAAAGCTCCTCATTGTACTGGAGAAATACCAAATCAGGAGGTGCGGCGCAGTACTGAAGTCATACCAGCAGAGAGCGCTGCAAATGAAAACACCGGCACAAAAGAGCTCTGTTCCCAGCAGAGAGAGGGGTCTTTGAGAAGAGATCCTTGCCTCAGACCCGAGTTTGGGTCACAGTAACGTGATATGTGCGAGTTACTCAAAGGGTTAACAACAGGCAAACTTGTGTAAATGTGTTGGAAACAGAAGCTGCACTAGAGCAGTGTGGAGATAGCATGCTGTATGGCTCAATACCAAATCAAATGTAAAAAGTCTCTTTTTGTATTAGCATTTTAGCCAAAAAACTATTTTTAAAAAGCTCTTTATCATCAACAAACGGTGTCAGTCTAGCATGTTATGGGATCAAAGCCTGATAGAAAACGCAGCCAGTGTAGACACACTTCAGAGTCCATCTAAAGATTGCTTATAATGTCAACACTGGAGCAACTGATTAACATCTGCCCGTGTGCCTCTCTGTGCTCAGTACAGTATATATTTATGTGGCACATTTTTCTCATGCTGTCTCGTGAAATTTGCGACGTGATAAATCTTCCTAAATTCATTTCTATGAGGTGATGCGTAGCAATGAAAGGCATTTAGGTGATGAATATGATACAGTTGTGAACACAAAGGTGTAACCATGGCGTATACTGTATGTTTAGTTGGGTTAACACATGCCCTTTGTCTATCTGCAGGGAGATAAAGGGCGTCCCGGGTCACCTGGCCCACCAGTAAGTCTATACTGTCACAGTGCCAGTTTAATTTTGCAGCAACTTTAACTTGTGATTTACTTGAACACGGTTTTCACGGTGTGGTTTTTGCTGTAGGGGCAAAAGGGAGAGCCAGGAGAGCCAGGTCCTGACGGATCACCCGGGGAGAATGGCATTGATGTAAGTAAACTGTGTACAAGAGAGAATGAAAAAAGGAGAACAACTTTTAAAAAATATTGCTTCCAGATTTTGAACTTCAATTTTGAAACGTATTTTCACAAGTTTTACAGCTTTTCCTTCAGACAAACACCTCCTCCATGGCCATTCATACGATGCCAAAGTAATTAAATGATAGATTTCTGTACTTTTGTGCATTTAGTTGTTACAACTCAAGACCAAAGAGTCATGCTGACAGGGTTTTTTCATTTACTACAGCAGCGTTTCTTTATCACGAAGAAAAAACGAGACATACTGCTGAAAATGTGCTTCTTTTTCTTATGTTAAGGTATTCATTGATTAAATGTGTAGTTACATTTCTCTACATTGACAGAAAGAGTAGCTTCACTGATCCGGCCCATGTAAGAGCAAAACGGGTTGTTTGTGGCCTGCGATGTAAAATAAGTTTAACATCCCTGCACTAGAGGCTCAGTCTTGTTTGTTGTCCTATAACCTGGATGATCTTTACAACATGCTACGTTTGTGATAGCACAGTCTGAGCACCCAGAGGTCAGTGTTTTGTAGCCAGGATATCAGGTTCAAAGCTACTACCAGAAGTTTTAGGACTACATTTCACAGACTCAATCCCTCTTCTTTGCTTTTAATATGTTTACCTCCATGCAACCACATCACGCTAAAATATGACTAGATAATAAAATACACACTACAAGTGGTCTGTACCTCACAGATTATTAATTTTCTTATCCAGGTATCTGTTTTAACAGGGCTGGTTAATATTATTAATTTTTCCTACATATTTACATCAGGTTTTTCCCCAGCTTTCCACAGAGAACATGAAACCTACCGAGAGTGGAGTTTGTCCAATTGTCATTGGAATAGATCAGTTTACATGAGAGCTTAGAATATTAGTAGGTGTTGATGACGTTAATCTGGTACACATTACTTGTTTTGCTCATGTATGTTTGTTGCACTATAAAATAAGAGCCATATTATTATGGCATTGCAAGTCCTAACCACTGCCATTGTTCAGAGACAGAGACTCGTATATAACTGTGTCCTAGCTTTTTCAATGTGAGTTGCTGCTTCAGACGGAACTTGAGCATCAGTGCCAAACGGTCACATGCTAACAGAAGCACAAACACACACACACACACACACACACACACATACACACACACACACACACACACACACACACACAAAACCAGGCATTCCTCAGAGGTTAAGCCAGTAATCTGCCCCGGAATCTCAGTCTCAGGTTTGTTTCCCAATTACATACCTGAACCAAGTCAACTTTGATTACATGTGAGGTTAACCCTCTTGTGATGTTAATTATGTTTCATTTGTGGCAGTTTTCAGTATATACTGCATAGCACATCTACCCGATTTCATTTCTTTCTGTTTGCCTCCAGGGTTTGATTGGAGCAAAGGGTGACCGAGGTCCTATCGGGAGACCTGGACCAAAGGCAAGTGTCTAAACCTTAACCTAAAAAGATTATTAGTGCAAAATCACAATTGTGCTGCTGTTCTGTGTGAAATCTGTTTGTGCTGCTGGTGGGATACTCTGAAAGGTTCAGATTTATAGAAAAATAAAATCTCTGGGTAATGTTCCCCATGTCCTGTCACTGTGATGTTGAGAATGACGTCGAACTCCTGCTTGCAGGGGAAAGCGTGAGAATCGCTGTGTTGTTAAGGACTTTCTTTCATTCATCCTGGTGTGCTGTTTTCATTTCAAAAAGATATTGTCATTATCATCTATATGTGTAATATTACCACAGTTAACCATCAACCATCATGTCACTGATTTCTGTTGTTTGCAGGGTCAACCAGGTCCAACTGGTGAGCCCGGAACTCCTGTGAGTAAATCAATTTTTAACTGTCACTTTTTTTTGGTTTTTGCAAACATTTCAAAAGAACTTAATATACAAAATGTCAACTCTAGTTTTCTGACAACTGAAGTTACAATGTAGCATCATAAACTGTACACAACAAACAGACACCATCACTTATTTCTTTGCATTTTACAACCCTGAGGTTTTGACTTTCCCATCCTATGAAACCATTTCTCCTTTTTGTTTTAGACAGAGAGATTAGCAGATAGGGACTCATGACTCTGTGTAGTTAACAGGTGCATTTCTAATTCACTGTGGGAAAACAGAATGCCAATTCCAGGTATTAAGACACAGCCTATTCAAAGAGAAACTGAATAGCTTAGCCCTTGAAGTTTATTTATATTGCTGTGGGAAATATTTGTAAAGCAGATATAATCTGCTTAAAAGGCCATTGCCAGCTTGCAACATTGGGCATTACATATTAATTAACTTGTGGTCACATCTTGGTGTTTTTTTCCCCTTCATGGGTTCCTGATCTTTGTTGTGGTCGCCGTGTTTTCCCAATTCTTCACATTGATTCCAATAATTTTAGCAATCTCCCTTTAGGATTTGTTTACATCTGTAATTCTGCATATGGAGGCTACGATCATCATCTTATAATGAGGAAATTATTATTATACTCTCACTGATTCATTCAGAAAATGTGCTGAAAAAGCAGCCAGAAATGCATAGGAGGAATCGACGAGGCCACAACAGTGGTTGCAGATTATGTTGCAGATTATGTCACAGAAATATTTAACAGTCCACGAGGGCTGGCTTGCTTTAAGTGGTCGTGTGAGAAACTGCATTTTTTGGCACTACAGATTTTCAGCCTTCAGAGGTTGCTCTGCCACTAGTTATATTGCAAAGCCAAAAGGCTTTTCATGTGGCTCCTATATATCATTCATTTCATTTTTTTTCTGTTCAGTTACTCTGAGTGATGAATAAGTGATACCCAGTATTTAATATGTATTATAATTGGCACCATTCAAAACACTACCCAGTGATGGAAAGGAAACAACTCATCTCTTATATTATTTTATGAGGCAGCCATGCAATTTACTGCCAGGGACCTTCAGTCAAAATATTTAGATAACACTTTTTTCTAATATCTCTATTTAATCTGTTATGCATGTATTTGAGAGACGTGCAATATCTGACTTTCTAACTGATTTCTAACAGCTTACTGGATCTTGTTGTTGTAGATCCAGTAAGCCTAGAAACCTAGAAATTCCCCAAAAACATAACTATCAGATAGAGATTAGAACAGAATAGTTTCATAATATACAAGTATATTCATGTAAGGCTGTATTGAAGTTCAGTGCTTGAGTAACTGTGCTCTCTGTATATTAATATAAAATGATGCATGAGTAATTGGCTAACATTATCTCACAGGGCTCTCGGGATACTTAAGAAATGAGTTATGATTGACTGAATTAGGCATTCTTTTCGAGCCTGCTCAGTTCTCTAACAAACATATTGGAACACAGCTGGTTTTTTAAGGCAACCTCCTTAGTGCCTTTTAGGTCACGCATGAATGCCTGACCAGCTGTGCCTCAATTTGGGTTCAGTTTATCCAAATGTGCCGTAAGATTCCTGCAGCTGACACGAGCCTGATCTCTATATATGCAATCCTTAATAGAGGAGTCACACTCCATATTGTCATTAGATACAGCCATTCCACACAAGGAATCATGAAGCATCAGCTGTAGCAGTCTTTCGCCACTAGGTGGTGCTCGATGTCCATCTATTGCACATCTTTGTAAGTCCAGAGTCATTCAATGTCATGCTTGAGCACAACACTATTAGTTAATCCGTTATTTAGCGTTAACAGGCGTACTGTCTGGGGGCTGTGCTGTACACCCAGCTGTCTTACGCTCCACAGACAGGAGATCCAGCCCTGTGGGCTGTTCTTCCTCCAAGAAGGCTTACTTACTTAATTACTTTGTTTATAATTAATTCCGAGCAAAAGACACAGCAAACACAGACTGATTGTGTTCTGTGTCTTTGTTCCTGAGTGCTATTTAACCTGCACTGACACTGTACACACGCATTACTGAATTCCTGCATTTGTTTTTAATTGGCTTTTGGAAACATTAATTGATACTCTGACGGATTGGTTCCACTTGTTACAAAGTAATTTAACCCCTTGTCACTTTTGTCCACACAGGGAGCTGGCCTTCCAGGACTGGCTGTAAGTAGCTTCTCTGGTATTGTGCAGTTATGCCTTCAACTCTTTAAAGTGTGGCAATAATTTGTCTCTGGTGGGATAAGTACATATCATTTTGTTTGTCACGCTCACTAACATAACTGTCCTGTATAGGGTATTCCAGGGCCAATTGGTCTCCCTGGTGAGATCGGACCAACTGGACCAAAGGTAACAAAACTCCAGCTTCGGTTTATTATGGGGGCCTTTGTAACTTCTCAGAAGCTCTTAGTCACAATTTCTTTCTCTCCTCACAAACATTTAGGGTATCCTTGGACCACCGGGACCTCCAGGACTTCCTGGACCTCCGGGCAAGCCGGTAATTTCGAGGAAAAATTGTATGAATTGTCATCTTTCTTTCTGACTCTATGTCACAAAGATCCTCGAGCTAAACACAAAACCACCTTTTGAAAAGCCTGTTTAAAAAAAAAAAAACCATACACTAGTGTATCATATGTAGGTTTCCTTGTTGTTGTAGATCCATTAAGCAATTAGAAATCTGGAAAGATAGCATAAGCAACAACCATTAACTGAAGCATTGCTTCAGACAGCAATCTCAGCATGTCAGCTGGTCTCAGTGCCTGCCACATCAGCTAATGCTCACCTGTGCATCCTATTAGCAAGTCTGATGTAGGGCATGCTATTTAAGCTGCTCCAACCGGCATAAAGTTGATGCTGCTTCTGCAAGCTGCATTGGACCTAACATCTACTTCTACAATAGTGCCTCTATTTTATGCTATTTTCTGACTTATTCAGCGTCAGTGTCTGCTCTGGTCTTGCTGCTACGCTATATGCTGTTAG